ATCGCTCTGAGGTTTATTAATCTTCTTAGTTTGGAGGAACAATCTAGCGCTCGTGAACAGAAGAGGAACAATTATCATTTTGAAAGCAGAAAATACATTTAAACTTTTCAGAAAAGTGTGCATGAGCGAGGAGTGGAAATACCGAATGAGCAATCTCTGGAAACGTGCTGTGAAAGCTGCCCAGCTGTGCTGCAAAGTGCTGGGTATTCCAGCACTATCACATGAAATCATGATTTTTGCTCAGCATTACCAGAGCCGTGTTCAGCATCCTAGGGAGATATGCTTATCTTTGCTAGTACCCTTACTAAGCTGAAAAGGTTTCCTGATTACTTGTGCACATCTCTGACAAGAGGAGACAGGACCAGACAGAAGGACTTCAGAATTCCAAATGCTTCTTCCTTCAGGAGTGATTATTTTGTGTGTTGTATCTGACACATTTAATCATTTGCCTGTTATTTACATTTTCCAAAACATTGGAATTTCTTTTATAGTAGTTGTGTGTGGGGGAGGAATTCTTTACAAAGTACGCAAAGTGTCTTTAGAATGTGACATCTTTTTGGTGAAAACACCTGTATGTGTTATTCAAAGAGAAAAAAAAAATCGAGACTCAAGAGGCTATTTTTCTTGCCTTAGCAGAGATTCTAATGTTTGAGACCACTAAACCAGTGTGGGGAGATCTAAGAGCTCAGATCTGGAGCCTGAAATTGACTGAATTTCAGATTCAGTGCTAATTCTGAGGCCTGCAGTTTGTAGAGCTTTGGTGAGATGTGCCTGAACAGCGGGCCTGAGAAGCAAGTCCGTGGTTTGTTCATTCTCAGTGCACGCTCAGGGCAGGCAGCGGGCAGTGTGTTCGGAGGTGAGCCTGGGGCTCGTCTGCGTCTCTCCTGTCTCGCTGCCCTTCTCTAGGAGGCAGAGGGGCAGGGGAGTAGCAGCCTGACGCAGGTAACTGCGAAAGGAGGGGCGTCTTGCATCGTTTTGGTCTGCTGGCCTTACTGAGCCTGAAGCAGCTGAGCGAACAAAAGTGGTTTCAAAGTCAACTTCAAGTGCTGCTTTGGCCTTTAGTAAAGTCATCTTGCTTCCAGTTTGTACAGTCAAGTCAAAAGAAACTAGAAATATCCCTGAAATTTACTCACCCTGAAACAGGTTTCCGAAGGACAATTGCCAGGGCAGACTGTAAGTCACGCTTCACAGGGTTCTCACAGAGCGTCTATTTTTCATCATCTCTCTGTCTTCAGGAGGTCACTGCTGCAACCCAGCCAAACCAGTCATATTCCGTCTGAACATGCAGAAGAATTTCTTCACTCTGAGGGTGACGGAGCCCTGGAACGGGCTGCCCAGGGAGGTTGTGGAGTCTCCTTCTCTGGAGATATTCAAGACCCGCCTGGACAAGGTCCTCTATAACCTACTGTAGGAGACCCTGCTTCGGCAGGGGGGTTGGACTGGATGACCCACAGAGGTCCCTTCCAACCCCGAACATTCTGTGATTCTGTGATTCTGTGAAGGTGAAAGGCTGACGACGTGTAAATACTTACTCATTTGTTAGTCCGCGGATCACAGCGGAATAGCTTGTGGTCCTGGGCGGTTCTTCAGCAGAACCGCTCAGTTCTTACCGCGGAGGTGGAGGTGCGAGTGGTTTGGGGACGCGTGGTCTCGGGGAACCGCGCTGCAGCAGCCCAGTGCACTGGAGCCGACATCGTTTTGTGTACTCGGAGGGCGCACGCGAACGGGC